CAGGGTACTGTACTGTCTCAGGGGGAACTTGTTATTTCCTTGTTTTTGGCAGCCATATCAGATCACAAGTTCACATGTGTAAATAATAATGTGAAATTCTGGTAACCAAATATCTGCAGACACCAACTGGGTGTCTTATAAGTCAATTCCATTTTGACACTATATACTCAGAGTTAGTGCAGACCCCCACCCCTTCAGGGCTCAGTCATACATGTTCCACACACTGGCAATGCTAGATACCGATTGCAAGTAGTGGGCACAGGTTACTTGCACTTCCTTCTGACTCAGCTATGAATTGGTGGTTTCCATGATCCCCTCCTCAGGTTTGAAAATTTGCTAGAATAGTTCACAGAAGCCAGAGAAACAAAACTTACATTTACGTTAATGATGAAAGATATTATGAAAAATACAAATAAACAGCCAGATGAAGAGTCACATATGGTGAGGCCCAGAAGGGTCTGGAACACAGGAACTTCTGTCCCCATGTGGTTGGGACAGTCTACCCTCCTGGTACATGGATGCATTCACCAGCCCAGAAGGCTCTAAATCTTATTTTCCAAGACATTTTATAGAGTTTAATCTCCAGCCTTCCTCCTTTCTCCTTCGTTGAGGTTGGTGGGTAGGGCTGAAAGTTCCAATTCTCTAATCACTTTGTCATTCTGGTGACCCACCCCATCCTAAGGCCACCTATGGCCTCCCTTTAGTCGTCTCATTAGTATAAACTCAGATGTGATCAAAAAGGGCTTCTCTGAGGGGCGCCTGGGTGGCTCAGTCACTTAAGCCTCCAACTCTTGATTTTGGCTAGGTCATGATCTCACGGTTTGTGAGTTCAAGCCCTGTGTTGGGTTTTGCACTGACAGTGGGAAGCCTTCTTGGGATTCTGTCTCTCCCTCTCTGTCTGCCCCTCCCCAGTCCCTGCTCTCTCTCTCTCTCTCTCTCAAAACAACAAATAAAAATTTTTAAAAAGGGGTTTCTTTGAATAGCAAAATAGACAGATAGGAAATTCTTTAATTTCCACTTAGGGGGATTAAAAAAACACATTTAGGATATTTCAAGAGTTTTAGAAGCTCTGTGCCAGGAAATGGGGACAAAGACCAAACATATTTCTTATAATGGCACAAAAATATTTACTGATAATCACGTACTTAAACATGTATCATTGCTCTTCCATGATCTTACATAGGTTATCTCAGCGGCCTCATAAAAATTATGCCAAGTAGGTAGGTATCAGTGTCTCCAATTTAAATAGGAGAAAGTGAGACTAAGAGCGCTTAGGACCTTTGCCTTGGGACACCCAGCTGGATGGCTGTGGAACCCACTGTCTGCTCCCTTAACTCCAGTAAACACTGTCTCATGATGTGTTGCTACTGCACTTTCTAGAGGGCTTCTACATCCTTCTCTCTCCGACCTGTGTGGACCTCACATTTAGCTCTGCTAAATTCCATCTTGTCTTTGTTTTGACTGATTGTTTAGGCATCTTTGAATTGTGATTCTGTCCATGTTACCTCTACCTACAACAAGCAAATTGTAAATGTCTTCATTCACATTACTGATGTAAATACCAATCAGATCAGCACCAAGGCAAAATAGAGCAAGAAGGTTCTTTACTGAGGAATAATCCATTAATCCATAATTAAAGCCTCTATATGTTCATAACACTCTGATGTCTCCTACCTGCCACATCAACCCAACCTCACATATCACCGTATCTCTTTCCTTGAAGAGACCTTTATTTAATGCCTCCATATCCTCTCCTTATTGGTCTACCTCAGCAATTTGGCTTCTGCTGCTCTTGGTTTGTTCAACAGATATCTTTTGGCTACTTTGTTTCTGGTCACTTGTAGGTGCTGACAGTGGCAGTGAGTAAGAGATCAAGAGTCTGTTTTTACAGACATTCTTATGGGGGCTACAGACCCTAGACTCTAGACAGTCAGACAATATACAACACATGTAAATAGTATAATAAAAACTGTATTCATGATGAGGGCTACTTTCTTGCCCACTTTCAGATCAGGTGCCATTGGATCAGGTACTACATGAAGTGAAAGTGTGAGCCATGCAGAAGCCAGGGGAGAAGAAATACTCCAGGAAAAGAACAGAAGGGAAGAGGCCCAGAGCATAGACTCTCTGGTGGCCCTCTGCGGTCCTGGCTGTAACTTTGTACATCTTTCCCAGTTTTTATTTTAGTTGACATCTGTTGCCTTTAATTCCACTCATCTTCCTGAAACTCTTCTCTCTTGTTTTTGGGGTGCTACTCAGTCTTTCCTGCTAATTTTATAGCTTCCTCTTCTTTGGGTCCTGCATTGACTTCACTTCCTGTGGTCTGGGGATTTCACCACTGGTTTTCTTTTTTGTTTTTTTACTGATATTTTTACACTCTCTGGGAACTTTCATATGCCCCTTAGTTTCAAAAACAACATGTATAGAGATGGATCAGAAAACAGGTCTTAAACTTATATATTGCTTTATTGCTTATTAGCCTTTAAAAAATAGATTTTTATATCTTAGAGCACTTTTATTTTTTTATTTTTTTTTTATTTTTTTCATTTATTTATTATTTAACTTACATCCA